CAGTGGAGAGTGAACAGGAGGATGCAGTGATGTAAGAGCATCTATGATGGAGAGTGAACAGGAGGACGCAGTGATGTAAGAGCATCTATGATGAAGAGTGAACAGGAAGATGTCTTTCACCATCACAGTTAAAATGGAATTTCTGTAAAACTGTTGTACTTTTTGTGCTTAAGTCACTTTTTGTTAGGGACTGTCCTTAATTTTTATTTTGAATTAAGTTAATTTGCTTTTCTTTTTGAAAGAACACATTTTGATCCTCTAGCTAAGAAGTAAGAAACATAAGGAGGGTAATTATAATCAGATTTAAGTAATTCATTTATCATATCCTTGCCAATAAAAAAAAGCATGTTCGCTTGGATTTTTTTAGGTAAACTCCACAGTATGTCTTTTAATTTACTAATATTATTTTTAAAAACAGACAGCATTGGCAACTTACTGCTTGATGGTTATTGATCTCCAACAACAGATCTGCCAACCATTTAGAAACAAATAGTATGAGCCTTTCAGATGACTGCTGGACTCCCCAGGTCAGATCAGATGCAGTGTCTCTGCAGAAACATTTGCCAGGGGCACTGTGTGTTCAGATGAGGATGTTTTATTTTTTCACAGTCAGGTCCATTCATTTACCAGCCCTCTAAATTTTTCATTCGAAACTGCAACATCTCCCATTTATGAACCATGAGGTTCTTATTAATTAAACAGAGTAGTCAGCTGGATTGATTTATTCTCCATCCTCAGCTGAATAACCAAGCACACAAACCAGGGAGGAAATATTTCTAATACTCGAATGTTCTCCAAGCCAGTAAATCTAGGATTATCTCATCATACTGATTATGTCAAAGAGTGTTAGCCACAGTGCTCAGTTAGACATAAAATTGAATGGTGGACTCCAGACTGGCTCCACTCCAGCATAGCAGGCAGAATTCCAAGGTGTTTTTGTACTTATCAAAAAGCCCTAATTATCAATAAAACATTTCTTAAATGTCTACTCGTTGCCTGAGTTGGCTTCCGGAGTTCTGTGACATTGGTTCTAGGTGTTTTGTGTTGTTGTTGTTGTTGTTGTTGTTGTGTTGTTATTGCTGCTGCTGCTGCTGCTGCTGCTGCTGTTATTTTCAGAGATCCAGTTGTAGATGGTTAAGCACCAAAAAGCATTTCTTTGTTGCCTGGGTTTTATTTTTATAGTAAATAGTTACTGGGATTTCATGTTTAATATTTAGAGGCATGTTCAGATAGGGTTTTAATTATTTATGTATGTGTGTATGTTTCTTTACTAAGAAAATCAAGCTACCATCTTGGGCTTTTTTCTGTATAGAAAAGTATACTGTAAATATAAGATTAGTCAAACATGGTATGACCTTGGAGTGAGGTCACGTTTTGTCAAGAAAATGTCTTGATGAAGGTTCTTAACGGTGACAGATTTCAGGTAGCACTTTCTAATATAGGTGGTAGAGTCCATGACTATATTTTTCATAGATATCCTGCTTTGGATTACTCTGAGTTACCAATTCACCAATGTCTATGTGGTTACACAGTTAATATTTCAACAATGAGAATATCATTTGCAAAACTTGGTTTTCATGCTTCCTATTCTCCCTATCCAGGTAACATGGCAAGGGAAGCAGTTTTTAAAATAATTTAAATTATCCTCTCTTACATTGTAACTATGCTGGTAAACATAGGATTTCTGCAGACTGAGACTGTCAAATCCACTGAAGAGTGGCATCCAGTCCATCCCTTTTCATGCACTCTGCAGAATCGTGGCTGTCCATTTTCACCTTGCAGTGCTGTTCCAGCCCTCTTGGCTACACTCCTTAACTTGCCTTTAAAAGCACTTTCAGTTTAGGCCACAAAAAAAGTCCTTGAAATGAAAAAGGCCTATTTAAAGTTGATGCCTTAGTAAGTTTAGTCATCATAAGAAATCCCTTTTTAACCATTTTTTTAAAAGAGTAGTAATATGGATTGCTGCTGAGAGAATAATGATACCTTTTTAATATTTTATTCTTTGCTTGATAATAACATACATGATAAAGTCCACTGCTCAGTTCCTCCCTTCCCACCCCTCCCTTACCCACCGCCAGGACTCTTCTGTCCCGATGTCATGTGCTCCTCTTTTAAGCCCTCTGTGGCTACTCACAACTATCTGTATGTGTATGTATGGCAGTCCACAGGAGCATGGGTACGAGCTCAGGGGACAAATCCCTGAAGAAACCTGACTTGGCCCTCCACTACCGCCATCAGTTGCCACTGAGTGCCTTAGCTAGGTAAGGACTGTGTGCCCCTTTCCCCCACAGGCAGGGATTTCGTCTGGCTTGCTCTTGTGCAGGTCCTATGCATACCGTCACAGCTGCTGTGAGTTCCTGTGTGCAACAGCCCTGACATGTCCAGCAAAGATTTTTCCACTACAGATATCTGCTACCTCTGATTCTTTCTGGCCACTCTTTCTCAATGATCCCTGAGCTTTGTGGGGTCAGGGTGACATCCCGTTTAGAGCTGAGCATGCCACAGTTGTGTATTATCTGTGTGTTAGGTTGTGGATTTCTGTGTTGGTCACCTGGTGAGGGTTGAGAGATGTTTTATGGATAGGAAGATAAGAATTGAGGAGGCAGTTTATTGCTATGTCCATTTAGCAGAGTAAGAGTATATGGTTCTTCTCTATGGCCTATGACCCAGACAGCCATGGGTCATGGGGTTTTAGCCCTATTGACAGTACCAGGCATGAGTTCCATCTTATAGAATAAGCTTTAAACCCATCCAGAAAGTAGTTGGTTACTCCTATAACATCAGTGTCACCAGAGGGCATATCTTGCCAGACCAGTCATTGTGGTTCACTGGGTTCATGGCTGGCTAAGACTGTTGATGACCTTTCTCCCTTGCAGCATCCACAGAACCTCTAAGCACTGTGGAAGCAATAGGGATGATGCTTCCAGCTTGGTACCAGCTGGATTTCCCATGCCCTATGACTTAAGTATGTATTATCTTCAGCAATAGATTCTCACTGTCAGGTTCTGGAGGCGGGGGAAAGCTGTAGCAAAAGCCAGTAATGTCTGGGGCTTGGGGAGCTTTGGAACCTCACTTGCCAACAACTCGAGTGGGTAACCCATACCTGATACCTGGGTTTTTTCTTTGATAGCCTATTGTATATGGGATTGTCATTGTCCCTCAGTTATAAGGTAACACAATTTAAACACCTTTTATATATGAATATATTCTAGGAAGCTTCTACAGTAGTAGGTTTCCAGATAGGCTTTTCACTGATACTTAGTGCTAGTTACCCCTCACAGACTCCCTCTCTACCACCACACTCAAACTTGGCAAACTATGACGATGTCTGGGCCTTGTCACCTCCACCTTGACTCTTGAACAACTTGAAGCCCTTTACCCCATTATGAAACTATGAATAATCTACTTGTATTGAAAGAAACATTTATAAATGTTCCTCTAACCCTACCCTGCCAGTCCAAGGGGCTGAGCAAATGATAGTGGACTTATAAGAACCATCCAGCTGGAAGCTGAGAGAGGAGATGAAATCTACAGGTACACATCTACCAGTTGTGATTCGTGGCATCCTGCCATTCCCCAAATGCATTCATTCCCTTACCCTATGTGCCCTTCCTCATCTCTTCTTCTGTCCCCTCTTCCCACAATGCTCTTCAGGACACTTGTCACTTGTTCTAAGACCACATCAAGCACCACACATGTACAGATAAGAAACAATTTATAATATATTTAATAAATAACATTTATAATATAGTTAAATCAAAGATAAGACTGTGGGTTCAGATGGAAGAAATCTTACAGAAAAATTGCTTCTTTGGAGTTGGTGTGCAATAACGCCCTAGGGAAGAGAAATGTCTCCCAGAATCATACTACAGAATGTTTTTGATCCAGAATTGGGTAGAACCGAGTGATTCTCAAGTAAATGACAGTGTATGCTTTGTCATTTATCGTGGTCTTTGGGCTGGAGTGGAGAATGAATTAGGAAAGGGATAGAACTGAAACAAAAAGAAGTAATTTCAGTGTACCAGATAATTACATTAGAAAGAGATATTGCACACAGCTACACAGCCATAGACATGCTCACAGACAACATCCATCAGGTGAGGAAACAGGAGTTTGAGGTGATACATTCATCTTCATTCATGGCTATAAAAGACCCGTAAAACATCTCCAAGCCTTCTTAACATTGCTGGGTCTGCTTCTAATTGCTTCCTATCCCAAGGGCCAACAACTGGGTAGAAGCAGGTAGTCCCCTGGATCAGTACTTGTTCAGCTGAGTAGGAGGAGAGCTGTTCACATGCTAATCTGCACCTCTTGTTCTTCTCAAGCCACGTGACACAGACCACATCCTGGATCCACCCCATGATGAGTGTCCTGAACCTGTCCTGCACAGAGGAGAATGAAGAAGACTGTCCCAGGGAGCTAACGGACCCAAAAAGCTGATGGGTTTCCATGGGAAATGGAGCACCAGAGTCTTCCAGCTTTTGAAACCGTGTGCACAACCGGACACAGGCAGGACACCTGACCCTGAGACACAGGAGTCCAGCACACACTACCAGGCAGGGTGTTAAGTTGAAAGTGTGGTATTTTTGTGTCCATGTTAAAGATCAGTTGCCACTACAATAGTTCTTTGAAAAATAATCTAGTTGCATTTATTGAGGTCACCTGCAGTCAGATTCTGTATGCATATGCCTTCTCATTTATAATTAGATCTTTATAACTTGGTATGTAGTTCATTGTTTGGTCTGAGATACAGTGATTTGTATACCAGCACTTTATATTGAACAGTCATGTGAACATAGCAAACGCCTTCTTTTGATAACTCCCTCTCTCTGCTCACAGCTTAGGAAGGTGTTCTGAGAAAGCTAAGGGGCAGTGCCGCTTACATTACATTACATTATATTAGTTGCTGGTTACAACTTTTGGGTTTTTTTTTTAACCAGTATCTCATAGGACACCACCTAACTTATATCATTAGGAGACTTCTGTCATTTATAAAATGCTTTCAAACCTCGTCTTAAACCAAACAGCATGGCTGTCGGGCTGATCTACAGGGCATTTCTCCTCATGGCTTCAGCTGAAGAAACAGTGGTTCAGAGAGACAGAGCTTCCTGTCCCAGGGATGAGACTCACACCTAATCTTCCAGTTCCATGTCCAGGATCCTTTGCCCTGCTCCCTACTGTCCCCACAGAGGGAGACAGCAGCCCAGCAGAGTATCTACATTCTGTTGATGCAGCTGGGTCCACAGCTGTGCATTCCACAGCAATCCAGAGGACACCTCAGAGTCAAACATTGTCTTTTCATAACCCCACTCTCTTCCTTCTGTGGCCCCAGGACCACCCCCCAGCACCACCCTTAGACACCAAGCAGGGCACTGCAATGTGACTTTTCAGGGGGGGTTGTCCCATGGCGTGTATTTTCTAGAATAGAGACACTGGCTGATGGCAGTGGTTTACCATGTTTGAGTGCCATTACCAGTAGGAGCGTCTGAGGAGAGGTGACAGGAGAAAGGTGTCTGTTTAAGTGCTGCTGGAGTGCTTGTCAAAGGATGGAGACCAGGCGCCAAGGAAAGCAGCACAGCATCACTGAGGTAAGCATAGAGCTCCCAGGAAAACAGTGCAAGATTCTTCACTTAAAGCCACTTTATAAATAAGTCACTGAGTTCCTGCAGTGAAGTAGTACCTATGTCAGCATCAGACACTAGCTCCTACAGTTTCCACTGACTTTATCTGATATGCAGAATGTATATGGAGAATACACATGGGCATCGTGCTCATCTGTACCTCTCTGAATACAGTTAAGATTTAGGATTTAAGTTGAATACACTTAGGATTCATGTTTCTTGTCATGAGGAAGAACATAAAGTCAAACACAGACTGACAAGGAGACTTTACCCCAAGAAAGACAGAATGGCTGGAGCAAATGTATGCCTCTCCTCACAGCTCTCTAGATCTTAGGATGCTTCAAGGTGGGGGGGGGTTGAGAGTGGTAGGGGGAGGCAGTTTTGAGAGCAGCTACAGAGGGAGCTGTTTCTTCAAGTCTCAGAGAGGTAAACAGGCACTCACGCACTTTTATAAGAGAGTGTCTATGCTGTGAACCAGCACACTCCTTTTAGGAAATCGTCCCCCATTCCCCCCTTGGAGAGCGTCCTCCCTTGTTTGTAAGGGAAGCTGAGATGGGATCCTGGACCATGCAGTCTCTAGTCTGTATGTGTTCATGTATGTGTGACACTCACAACCTCTGCTGCTTGTACCAAGTCTCTCCCTGTTTCTATCAAATACATAATCAAAAAGACATATAAAACACATAGCGTTATTTCTTGAGCACTCTATACCATACATTGCAGTGTACAGTGAACATCTTTTGGGAGGGTATTTTGGATAGCCTCTTCCACCCTGGCCTTGAATTCACAATCCTCCAGCCTTTCTCCCAAGTATTTCAACAAGTACCTTCTTGAAGCTACCCATGAAACAAGAACTAAAGTGATCCAATTTTGTGAAGAATCTGAGGTTTAGAGAGAAGTGGTTACTACCCAGGGATCCCACCATGACTATGTGTTGATGCTGGACCTGAGGCAAGCCTTAGACCCCAGGGCTTCTTTAAACCAAGGGGTAGAGCCACCTGGATTTAGTCAGCACTGCAAGACTCCAGCTTTCAGTCCTGAGGAACTTCCTAGTTCATCAGAAAGGAATTCCCTAGGAGAAAACAGCATTCCATCAGGTTCCTGTGCATCTGAACTTCTCATGTGAATGCAGCTAAGGAGGCTCTGAATTAGCTGAGTCAGGTGAACACTCTTTGAGAACTACACTTTAGTCTCCATGACCTCCACACCCACAGATAAAGGACAGATGCTCAGAGAATCTCAAGAAGAAGGCTCAGTATGAATGCTTTTCGGATGCAGACAGAACCCTGGATTACTTTGGAGGAAGTTGATATTCTTTAACTTACGTTATCCCTACCACTGTCGACATCCACGGGAAATGCCTCTTCACTGACCCACCCACTCAAATTCTGGATTATAGGAATGGGACATGTTTACATCCCTCCCAGAGCATGTTCCAGTGGCATTGGACATCAGTTGTGCCGAAAGTCTCACTTCCTAGAGTGACAAGAGGCCTGGCTGTCCTCACTCATGTGTTCCCTTGGAATGCTCCCAGTGCGACCAGCACTCTGGTCATCAGGGCAAAGTAGGGCAACAGCTAACCATTTTTTGGGCTGTTTTAAAAATAAAAATGATTTTGAACGTCAGAATTTGTTACTTTTTAACTTCTAAATTTTAAAAATAATTTATTTTCCTTTCAAAATCAGATCAAAGTTCTGTGGAAATAAATCGAGTTAGATAAATAGCCCATCTAACTTTCTGGAAGCTGCCATCACCATTATTTTAGTAAATATTTTCACTCAAGGGCAAGCATACCACCCTTAAGCAGCTCACCTTTGAGTTAGTACATTGTGGTCATCTTTTCACAGCAATATAGGCATTCTGTTACATTTTAAAAAGCTTAAGCTATCACTTCCCAGAATGCCCTTCATCCGTTGTTCAGCAACTTACTAAAGAAATCTTTGGCTACTTTAAGTTCTTTCCTGTAACAGTGTCATGGTGAGCATGCCTATAATTATTAAAACCTTTTCTTCAAGTATCCCTGCACTCAAATACTGATGCCTGTAGTGTGAATACTTTTGTAAGCCACCGTGTCAGAGTATAGTCAAAGTCTTGTCACTGACCAAAGCTGCTCCACCCCTGTCTAAAAACCTGGATGTTTTAATCATTGGGTTCTAGCATCTCTTTAGCATTGGAGACTGACTGGGTGTATGGGTGGAGACTGACTGAGTGTATGGGGTAGAGACTGACTGAGTGTATGGAGTGGAGGCTGACTGGGTGTATGGGGTGGAGACTGACTGGGTGTATGTGGTGGAGACTGACTGGGTATATAGGATGGAGACTGACTGGGTGTATGGGGTGGAGGCTGACTGGGTGTTTGAGATGGAGACTGACTGGGTGTATGGGGTGGAGGCTGACTGGGTGTATGGGGTGGAGGCTGACTGGGTGTTTGGGATGGAGACTGACTGGGTGTATGGGGCGGAGGCTGACTGGGTGTATGGGATAGAGTCTGGCAGTGATTAATTCAGTGTTCCACACATGGCAGTCCTCTCACTGCTTTCTACTTTACATGTAATGATGATAAGGAATTGCTTCAAAATTAGCAGAGAAAGCAAACTCGTGCATACAGTACAAGCACCGCCATTCTCCATCTGTGGAACAGTGGCATACGTCCTCCTGCCCACACAAGTCAACTCAGCACACATCACCTGAGCACCTACTACATGCCTGGCCATGCAAAGTGTTATAATTGTGGATAGTACAAATTTCCAAGTCAGAAAACTCAGTGTCTATATTTCTACACACACACACACACACACACACACACACACACACACACACACACAATGATTGGTTTTCTGAACAGGATAAGAAGTTAAGAATTTGTTTCCTAAGAACCCCTTAAATTTGAATAATTATGGAAAATATTGACCCCCCCCACCTTAGCTAGAAAAGGGGAAGAAGGAATGTGCTGGAAGAAGAGGCTCTCCAAAAACAAATGAAAGGCAGCTGTCAAAATAGAGTCAAATAGCACACTCATAAACTGCTTGCGCAATCAGAAAATATTATGCTTTTTCTAGGGAGAAATAGGACATTTCTCTACGGTAAGCAAAATGTAACTTTTTGAAGGGTCAACACACTTGACATTTTTATGTTACTTATACAGACAGAACTGAACAAACATTAATACAGCTTTCACAGTCTTGGGTATAATTTTCAAGATGATGAAAAAGCACAGAATATGCCTGTGGAATTTAAAGAATTAAACAGAATATGCCTGTGGAACATGACTTTAGAGATGTAATACTCGAGAAGTTTTAGCCATAGTTGTTCACATATAATATCATTGTATCAGTAAAATGATTTTATAAATACTAAATTCGGGCTAGATTTCCTTTTTTCAGGTACCCTTTCCCTCTACCTTGCCCTCTGTGCGTATTTGTGTCTGTGTGTCTGTGTCTATATGTCTGTCTGTGTGTGCATGAGCATGTAGGGGCCAGAGATGGATGTTGAGTCTTCTTCAATCACACTCCACCTTGTTTTATAACCTTAGTCTCCCACTGAACCTGGGGCTTGTACATTTGGCTGGCCAGCAAGCCCCAGTGATCCTCCTGCCTCCGCTTCTCTAGCCTTGGGATTGCAAACGTGTCGTGCCTTTCCACATGGATTCTGAGAGACTGGACTGAGGTCTTTCTGCTTCCTCTTCACTGAGGTAGTCATCTCCACAGCCCTTTCATCTGACTTTTCACCTTCAATGTCATGCTATCTCTATTAATTTTAAGTTTGATTTCTATTCTTTCAGGGAGGATTGTAAAATTGGGTTAGTAGCTGTGTCAAACCACTCCTGAGGAAAGAGATGTGGCTTTAGCAATTGAGGGTATATAATATAACTGCCCTAGTGGGGCCAGAATGGGCTCCCAGACACACATCAGGTGGCTCACAACCACATTTAACTCCAGCCCCAGAGTGATTGGGTACCCCTGGCCTCTGCGGGTATCTGTACTCACATGCACAAACGTACGTGTGTGTGTGTGTGTGTGTGTGTGTGTGTGTGTGTGATTAAAAATATAATAAATCCTTATGAATAAGACACCTCTGTTGTTCCTATTCCCCCTGCACCAAATTCCTCTCTGGCCCCTCGCCCTGCTTCATTCCATGCCATTCACCTGTTTGTCATGATGTTGTTTCATTGTCTTCTTTGAGAATGGAGGTATTAATGGCTCAAGCTCCATGAAGGCAGGAACTTAACTGTCTCATTCACCTTCAGACTGTAGCACAGTGCCTGTCACATAGTAGATGTTCAAATTGTGTTTGCTAAATAGTATGTGTAAGGTACCAGCCGTCGCTAAGGCATGGTTTCCAGGGTAGCTCTCATCCTTTTCTGTTCATTTATTCACTGAAGCGCCAAGTACCACACTCTTCATTAAGCATTAGGGATGTAATGCAAGACACATGTGACTGCAGCCGTCATGTCATTTGCATTTTATGCAAAGCAGGTATATCTGAAATTAACCAAAGCTTTTCCACGCATTCTCCCCTCATTTATCGCGTATTTAAACAAGTCCCACTAACATTCATTGCCTCAAGAAAGGATGAAAAAAAAAACAGACAAAAGTATGAACGTTTAGAGAATACAAATACTGTAGCTAGCTGGGAAGATGGAAATGATATGTGTGTGTTCCAGAGCACATCTGAGAGTGCTGTACAATAAAGCCTGAGGCTTACTCACTTCCAGCTAGGAAAAACTTCACCTCACTGGGTGTGAAGAAAAAGTAGTCAGGGATGGGACTCAGAGAGAGGGGCACCTGGACCCCACCCTATGTGCAAACATTCCTGGAATGAAACCCCATTGGTGTCTCTTAGTTTAAAGAGCAGAAGAAAACTCTCACTGTCTTCTTGGAAACGATAGCACGTGATGTGCCTGGGCACACAAAGACACAGACAACTTGAGTAAACTCCCTCCTGACTGATTTTCCATAAACCCAAAAAAGATCACAGGAGCAGCAAACACTGAGTCTGGATGAGCTTCTTGCCACCCAATCCATGTGGCCTCAGTGAAAGCCACTCTGGACCAAAGAAGTCCCTAACATGCTCTGGGTGTCTGTGTCCATCCCCCAATGTGATGTGGGTGGAGCATCTAAGAAGTGATTGGTCCAGAAGGACCCCACTAATGGAGTGAATGGTGCTGTAAACGAAGATTCAGAGAAACTGGGCTGCGTCTTCGTTGTCATAAGAAGGTACCATCTTTGACTAACCAGACACTGCAGATAGCTCTTGGACTCCCTAGCCTTTAAAACAATAAACAATACATTTATATTGATTGTAAATTTCCCAGCCAGAACAAACTAAGATACTCCCACAGGATTTAGCAACCAAAGAGGAAGGAACAGAGTTAAACAAGGCCAATGTCAGTCAAGAACATCCTTCCCTAGGCCCGTTTCCTTCCTTTACTAATGTATGCTAGGGATATAGCACAGTTTCTGTCACATAGTAGGTATTCCATACATGTTGAGTGCCACTTTGGATCTCTCTGCCTCTTCACCAGATAGTCATTTCTATGTAAAGTGAGTTATAAATAAAAAAGAAATATTACTTCTAGAGCATTTCTTAAATATACTCCCATTTCTCTGATCCATGGGAGCACTCCTTTTTGTTTCTTTTCAGATCTTTCCTATTTTGTTCCTGTCTTCCTCTATACCACACCTGTCCCTATAAGCCCACCCTTCACACCCCTCAGAGTTACCTGTCTAAAGCACAGATGGGATGCTCTTACCCACTTGATCCTCTTTCCTGCATCCCTAGCCTCCTCTCACTATCTACACTCAAGATTTTTTTTCTCTCTGATCCAATTTCTCCTCTACAAAACTCTCATGTCCTGCTGTATCTGGAAAGTTTCTCCTGCTTCATTCTGTCATCAATTTTTTTGTCCTTTATTCAGACTATTCTTTTATCCTATAACGTAAAGCACACCCACATGCTTGTGCAGAGCCCTGAGAACATACTGTGTCCTGCTCTAGCACTTTCTGTCTAACTTCCTTGAGACAGGCTCTTTTACTGAGCCTGGGCCTTGCTGTTTCAGCTAGACTGGTCCACTAGCAAACGTGGGGGAATCCTTGCTGAAAGTGAGGCACTCACAAGGCCATACATGATTTTTTTTTCCCAAGGATGCTGACAGCATTGAACTCAGATCATCATGATTGTTCTTACTTACTGAGTCATCTCCCTAGCCCCAAGACCCTGGTACTATTCCATTCTCTGTGGACCTTGATAGAAGACTGTTCCCCCTTCTCCTCCTTCCCGTCCTCCCCCCTCCTCCTTCCCCTCCTCCCCTTCTTCCTTCTTCCCTTCCCCTCTTCCTCCTCCCCTTCTTCCTTTTCACCTTCTTCTTCCTCCCCCTCCTCCCCTCTTTTTCCCCTCCTCCTCTCCCTCTTTTCCTCCTCTTCCCCCATCTTCATCCTCCTGCTCTTAGCATCAGATTTATCACTATGCATTACCATGCTCTTACTGCCATATATAACTAATCTCACCCAAGAATGTTGGAGCAGTAATCCAGCTCAAGAGAAGCACACATCAGCCAGAGAACTGACTGAGGCTCAGTGACTTACTTTGCTTTAAGCAGCCAAGTTGCTGGATCTTAGAAACGTGGTTATAGCTCTGCTTTGTACTTCATCCATGCGCTTATGAAAGTCTCAACTCTGGTGAAAGTCTCTCTCTATGACTCTTCCACTCCATAGCAGCAACTGGCTGAATAACTCAGTAGGAGACAAGATGGAACTAAGACACGAGTATCTTATTATCTATGATTGTTATGGGCACTTTGAGCCAAAACTCTGGAAGCTAAGTAAGTTACTTAGGAAGTAACTTATTTTAACTGTATTTTAACTGTATTTTTATTTAACTGTATTTTTTTATTTAACTGTATTTTTAAATCCTACCACTGTCCTCCATTGTGGTCTACTTGTTTTAAAAGTCTATCTCAGTGAAGTTGCAGTTAACTCAGTGCAGACCACAGGTCTCACCTGATCCACCCTGGATCTTAAGTCAAAGTCTACAT